ATTTAAAATTTTGACCAAAACTGTAGATGCTAAAATTAACAATGAATTTGTTTAACAGAAAAGTGTTGAACCAACATGGAGTAGCAAAGGCATACTACACATTAAGCAAAGGATATCAGCACAAGTTCACTTAACAAAATGAATATTAATATAAATGTACTATTTATAAATATAAATACCATACTTTGATATATAAAAAAGTGACTATCCATAAGAAATCCTGATAAAAATGCATCACTGCTTCAATAAAAAATATTAAGCAGCACAACCTTTTCAACACTGACAATAAATTTAAAACAATTTTCACCAATGAAAAACTGCTTCGAAACCAAAACTGAGGTCACCGAGGTGTGAATTAAGCTGATTAAACATACCAGACTCTCAACTCTTTATCACGGTGTTTATTTTAGACAACTTTTGTGTCTTTAGGAGGTCTGAAATTACTGATGTCTAAAAATAAAAATGTTCAATACCCACTTCCAATAAGCCTATAATGTATTGTGCGCTTGATCGCCAAGCACTTTACGCTGCCCTTCGGACTGTGAACATACATGTACAATCCCTATAATTTGACATCTCATTTAAGATGGACGAACACCCTGTTAAGTCTACTTCACAGGGAGCTACCAGCCAAAAGGAAATGCACCCCAAGGCTCATCCTGTCTTCTCTGTACAAAAGCTCTTTTTGCAAACTCAAGCTCAGCTCTGTCAGCTCTCATCCATCTGACTAAAGCAACATCACAATGTGATGAACTGCAAAATGCTGAAGAGCAATAAAAACACAAGCATACAGTATGCTTCCCACTGGCCTGCTTTGCAACAATGTTTTGTTGTTTTATGAATCTATATAAATGCACCAAAGTCTCCTCCTGATGAAAGAAGCAACGAAATGACTTTGACAGCATCCATCCTTGAATCACATTAAAACAAAGTTTTCAAAAACATGTACAACTTATTTAAATTATAAAATGGAACAAAGGGTAGCTCTTTGCATAGAGCTGAAATTCTCCTGACAAGCAAAGCTGCTCAATGTGCCATGAATGACAGCGCAGCCTAATTTAACAAGCTCCTCATCTCAGCTGGGGTAAGAGAGTTTTAAAGAACAGAGAAACTTTAATATTTCTGAGAATTATGTTAACATGTCATCAGTACGACACTGGGCCTTGACAATAAAATATTACAGCAAGTAAATAAGATGTACATGCACTTCAAAGTAAAGATGAGTAGTAATTAGCCAACATGCAAAAGAGGGTTGTGCTTACACATCACATCAGGCCTAACTAAAGGGTAAAGGGTTAAAGAACATGGTGCATTCTCACCTCACCTATTAGTGTGATTTGCACTTGCACATTGCTTATTAAGTGAAAGTCTCAGAAATGTATACAAGTATAACCTTAAAATTGATAATGACAGTTCTTTACATTAATTCATAAGATAGTAGGACCATGTGATATTTCAGTTTTTCTTTTTTAATAAATCTGCAAAAATGTCAACAATTCTGTGTTTTTCTGTCAATATGGGGTGCTGTGTGTACATTAATGAGGAAAAAATTTACTTAAATGATTTTAGCAAATGGCTGCAATATAAAAAGTGTGAAAAATTTAAGGGGGTCTGAATACTTTCCATACCCACTGTACTGCTAATGCACATTAAACTACAAAACATCTCACCAGCTATGTTTTCAAACGATTTTTTTCAGCAGATTTATTAAAAAATTAAATTAAATAAAACAAAACACTGACAGACAACTTTAAAGTCCTCAACAATTATGTTCACAGGACATGCGCCGCTTTTATTGTAAACATAAGGTATTACAAACAACAACCTTTATTGCTGTGAACGCTTATTTTTACAGTTACCGTATCATTCTTGGTGAGAAAGGGCGAAAAAAATAGGTTATGAATACCATGAGTATGGTTCTGCAGCGAATTACAATGTCAAGAATAGCTTAGAACATTACAGTGTAAACACCTGGTTACAGTCTTTAGCTAGCAACGTCCACCCAATCATAAATTAATCGCGATTAATCGCATCCAAAATAAAAGTTTTTATTTATGTAATATACAGTATGTGTGTGTATTGTGTATATTTATTATGTATATATATATACACACACACATACTGGATATATTTGGAAAATATTTACATGTTTATATTTATATAATTTATATATTATATATAAATATATTTAAAGAGGTCATATGATGCGATTTAAATTTTTCCTTTCTCTTTGGAGTGTTACAAGCTCTTGGTGCATAAAGAAGATCTGTATAAGTCATTATAATCCGTAATTATGTCCCCACTGGATGCAACGAATGCCTCGTTTATAATGGGTTGTAATGTTTTTGAATCATCACTCCAGCCTGACAGGGCATCATCACAGTATGGTAACATTTCCGTCACACGCTTGAGGTATTCGGCCAATCACAACGCACTGGATAGCTGGTCAATCAGAGCACACCTTGCTTTTCAGACCGATGAGCTTTGTAAAAATTGACGCGTTTCAGAAAGGCGGGGCATAGAGGAGAAACAATAATGTACAGTATGTGGAAAATAATGTGTTTTTTTAACCTTAAACCGCATAAACATTTCATTACACCAAATACACAAAATAATGTTCTTTTTAGCAACATCATATGACCCCTTTAATATAGAAATATAACATATTTTTCTTAAATATACACATGAATGTGTGCATTTATATATACATAATAAATATACACAGCGCACACACATATATTATGTAAACAAAACATTTTTTGGATGCGATTAATCGTTTGACAGCACTAATTTTTACCACACACGCGTTACCAAAACAGGTCGCGTGCACAACAACCTCTGATCAAAATCAGCGTTACTGACTCATGAATATGCAAAAAAAGAACGTTCTTCCGCTGTTTACCAATTGTACAGTACAGTGTGAAATTTTCAAACACGATGACTACCCATGATTCATTAATAAGGCAGCTTGAAGTGTGAACAGTGTGAAACCCCCATGATTACGTTTATTTAGGGTTTAAGTGACACTGTGTAACAATGTCAGTGCAAGTCCTTTATATTTGATGAACCCCAGCTGCAACACATTTTAAATCGCTACAGTAATGTAGACCTGTGGGATTCAGTCAGTAGATGTGCCAAAACGTACAATTTCATTCAAACAGGATGATCCCCAAAGAAATCACTTGCCCAGACAAATCCCATTAAACAATAAAATAACATAAGTTATTAAAGATCGTGACTACTCTACTTGATGCATAAAATATAACAAGACCAACTCTGCCAGTAGCAGCACGGTATCTTTGCTACAACTGAAATTGTATGCACTGACAGGATCACCCTTTCTGACACATGCCGAAGCCTCGGCTCGTATTTTAAATGGCCAATTCAGTCCTCATGAGTAACCAAATCAGAAACACTTTATTCAGATTTGTGCGCATTATTCCAAATAATCCCCTTAATTTGCTGCTCTGGGTGTGAGAACCCTGATAAACGCTTCCTTCTGCATCATAATCATAATCAAAACGACCACGGTCAAATTAAAGGGCTGCATTTCACTAGCAGCTCATTGTGCGCGCGTGTTACTATCAAGCATGACGCGCGTGCCTCAAAACAACGTAGATACATATCAATTGTAGACAAGTGATGCATTTTCAAACGCTTTAAAGTAAACGCTCATGATGAGACATCTACAAACGCACTAAAGCTTAATGTATGTGTAACTACGACCAAGCAACTGCTCTCAATTGATAAGACAGTAAATACGCGAATCGCTCGATCAGTTGAGATACGAGTGAACGCGAATGCAGTAGTAGTACACAGGTAAGCCTTTTGGGGTTGCGAAGTAAGTTTCTAAATGTCGAGTTTAAATGATCATATAGATAAAGCATATAGCGGCGAAGAAGAATCTTACCTGTCTGCTCTCTGTGAGTGAGTGAGTTGTAGGGACAGCAGCAGCAGCAGCAGCAGCACACTCGTTCAACTTGTCAACAGTATCAGCGGATGACTCCACGACTAGCTTCAAGCATCTCCGCGAAAAATAAAATCACTGCTTACTTTTTCGAATCAGTCGTGTGATTATTCAAAGGAAATGCCTCAGCTTAAATGTAAAAACGGGACTTGTAAAATGCTACGATGCTTTCCAGTGTAGACAACAAAAACCCTCTCGGTGTTATTGGATTCTTCCAAGGCTGGCTTTGCACACTACTACAAGTGCACTGATTACAGCGCATCTCTCTCGTACACACTCTACAGAAATATTGCAACGTTTTTCTAAAATAATAATTATTTAATTTATCTTATTTATACTTCCAATAAGATAATGAGGGGGTAGTCAGTTTACTCCTATTCGTTGGTTGTCATATATTAGATGCAGTTTTAATATAATTGGCAATATAATAAAGAGTAGTATTATTTGAGAGTATTATCAGTATTGTTTGAAATATAATTAAAGATCCCCTTGTTTATTGGTGAATGCCTTCATTTTCACTGTCAACAAATCTCTTCCATAATAATCATATTCAATAACAACAGTGTTGGAATTCAAATCGATGACAAAAATTGTAAACTTAGTTCATTCTTGCTCCAATATAACAACTGGTTATATTATTATTAATATCTTTTTTCCTCGCTTTATTTTGATTTTCTCCACCACAGCAGGTTACACCATACAGATATAGAATGATTGAAGAATGATAGCATGATGGTACACGGACTAATGATTTATTATTAATCTGTCTAGATCTGTCTTTTATATAATATTGAATATTATTTGCATATTTAATAAACAATCATCAGAATCGTCCAGAAACTCACTCCGTTTTTGACAACAGTTGACAAGCGAGCGTGATTGGGATTCTGATCCGGGTTCAGTTTCTTTTAACTTCTAAATGAGATTATGTTTGAACAAAGAAACTGTTTTGTGAACGGTTGCAATGCTGTGGGCGGTCCTGTCCTCGTTTTCAGGTCTGGTTTTAGCCAATCAGCGCCGGACTTCTCTACAGACGTCAATGCGAGGTTGGTTTAGCCCTTTGTACAGTGTGTTAGCCTCCTGTGCTCTAAGTAAGTTGCCTCTCACAGTAGCGGCACAATGAATGAATTGTGATCATTGACAACACATGGATCCGTAAGTAACATATCACATAACCTGTTATAAACGAAAGAGAAAACAAGTTCGATTTTTTGTTAGCTGTCTTATCTTCATGTTATCCGACCGGTTAGCAAGGTTGTTAGGCTACTGCTAGCCTGCTGTCAGACTGCATCTCTCAGTTGACACAAGCCTGACTTTAAACCTACTGGAACATTCTCTATGAATGAAGCACACTGGGGAACAAAGACAGCTGTGTATAGTTAATCTATGTCTAATAGCATACATTTATACACACAATATTATCTTAAACCGCTTATTGTTAGCTATGTATCTGAACACTGTCAGATATGCCAGAATAGTGCAAGATATGATTTGTGACGTGACTGTGTATGACTGTTTTCATGTCTGTGTTCATAAGCCAAGATGTTTTCAGTGTAAAGCGGCTGGATTCTACAATGTTCTTCAATATCGATTAGTTCCACATCACAACAAATGTGTATTTCATGTCTTCATTGCTGTTCAGCACAATATGTTTAGTAAGATATTAAGGAGACCATGGTTGTATTGTTACCATGTGGTCTGAAATATTAATACCGTTTCTCTATTCGATTACTGTTTCATTTTATCCTCCGATTGAGTTTTGTTAGATGCCAGAACTGTTGCTGGAATAGTTTGATTGATCCCCTTCAAGGTTGTCCTCTGTGCTTACAAGCACAGCTTTTGTCTCTCATCCAAAATTCATTGTCTCATTCTCTCTTTCATCTGTTCGTCTAGCACATAGCACGTCCCAGCTCTGACCTCACTGTGATTGAAAACTCCTGCCATCAGTAACCTCCTCATGTGCATCATCTTCTTGAAGTTTGACCCTCGGCCTGCATCCAAAAATGCCTACAGGTAGTGCACCTGCTCCCTGAAGCTTTATTGTTTATACGTTCAATCAATGCAAATCGTGATAGGGAAACACACATTCTTGCACATGTGTGGGAACAAGATGTTGTTTGATACTGTTAGAAAACATTTTTAAATAAATGCTGAAAAAGTATAAAGTGTTGGCATGTAAAGCAAAATCTTTTGGCCCATATTTCAGCTTTTGAAGGTGCACTCATTTATTGCAGCGGCCGTATTTGACTTGTTTTGACACTGTCCAGTAGATGCTGAATCATGGAAAAGCAAACGTTTTCAGTTACCGGTGACATTGTATAAATGCTCACAGTGAGCCATGATTCATTTATTCCACAGACGGAAGTGTCCAGGAAAAGAGGGGGTATTATTAGTCGCTGTGGTTTTGCCAAGTAAGACATGTTCCTGGATCAACATTACTGTCCAAAAATATAGACTTAACCCAATCCATACCCCTAAACCTAACCTTACCCATAATTTATTCCTAAAATCAGTGTGAAATGATAGCTGATTAACAAAGGTGTAGAAGCACCTAACCCTGATCATAAGCCTAAATCAATCCTTCAATCCTAAGTTATCCTTCAATTCTGATTGGTTGATTGGAATGTTGTTCCAGGATCAACAAGGATGTTGTACTTGGTGAAATCACGCTCACCGTACTGGTAAAAAGTTTGGAATAATTCTAGTTTCTTAAAAGTTGTTTAAGGCTGCATTTACTAAAAATACAGTGAAAACAATAATATTGCATTTTAAAACTGACTGTTTCCTATTTTAAAATATTTAAAATGTAAAAAAAAATATTCTTGTAATGACAAAGCTGATTTTCAGCAGCAGTTACTCCAGTCTTCAGTTTCACACGATCCTCTGGCTGCAATATAACAAAGAGTGAAAAATTTAAGGGGGTCTGAATACTTTCCGTACCCACTGTATATATATATATATATATCTCATATCAAATAATAATCAGAAAGCATCTTACCTGGGCTAAGGAGAAAAAGAACTGGACTGTTGATTCAGTCAATCCAAGCTGAAGGCACAATAGTGCCTCAGCAGTGCCACAGGCTGATTGCTTCCATGCCACACCTCACTGCTGCTGTCATTTGTGCTAAAGGAGCCCTGACCAAGTATTGAGTGCATAAAAGAACATACTTTAAAGAACTTGAACTTTTCTGTTTTGCAAATCCTGTTTTTGATTGATCTTAGGAAATATTCTAATATTTTGAGATACTGGATTTTTGACTTTCATGAGCTGTAAGCTCTAATCATCAAAATTAAAACAATTTTTTTTTTAAAATGTTTTACTTTACATTTAATGAATCTAGAATATATAAAAGTTTCACTTTTTGAAATGTTACAAAAAAAATTAACCTTTTCACGATAATCTAATTTCTTTAGATGCACCTGTAGGCTTCAACTGTAATGTCATGTCATTAGCACTGACCTCTGCAGCGGATTTCACTGACAGAAGCTACAATTTGGCATTAAAAAAATGTCCCATTCAGGTCAGTGGCATTATAGGTATAGTTCACCCAAAAATGAAAATTTTGTCATTAATTAGTATTACTCACCCTCATGTTGTTTCAAACCCGTAAGACCTCCATTCATCTTCGGAACACAAATTAAGATATTTTTGATGGAATCTAAGAGCTCTCTGACCCTCCCATAGACAGCAAGGGTCCTTACACGATCAAGGCCCAGAAACATAGCAAGGACATCGGTAAAATAATCCATGTGACATCCGGAGTTCAACCGTAATTTTACAAAGTTACGAGAATACTTTTTGAGCGCAAAAGAAAAAAAAAGTAACGACTTTATTCAACAATTCGTCTCCTCCACGTCAACCTAGCGCCATTTTGGAGAGTATCCACTGAACGTAAATTGCGTATGCTGTTTTGTCAGCGTTGCCACGCGAATACGTTGTTTTCGTTCAAATCAAAGCATTAACGACGTAAACAGCGTATCCGCGTGGAGGGTCAGAGAGCTCTCAGATTCCATCAAACAATCTTTAATTTGTGTTCTGAAGATGAATGGAGGTCTTACGGGTTTAGAACGACATGAGTAAATAATGAAATAATTTTCATTTTTGGGTGAACTATCCCTTTAATCCATCTTAAAAACAGAATGCCTTTGAGATTAATGAGGATTTCTGTCACAATACCCAAAAGAAGTGTACAATTATTGCAAAGTTCATTACAGTTCAAAACCAACATCGCATGTGGTTGTTGGAAATAAACGCCTCTTTTTGGAACCATTTCATCTTCGTCATGTTAACCTCTGACCTCACATTCCCAGCCAGCAGCCCTTTGAGAGAAAACAGGCTGGAGGTCTGGGTCAGTTTATGTATACAGTGGGTACAGAAAGTATTCAGACCCCCTTAAATTTTTCACTCTTTGCTATATTGCAGCCATTTGCTAAAATCATTTAAGTAAAATTTTTTCCCTCATTAATGTACACACAGCACCCCATATTGACAGTCTACTAAATACTGAGCAAAGGGTCTGAATACTTAGGACCATGTGATATTTCAGTTTTTCTTTTTTAATAAATCTGCAAAAATGTCAACAATTCTGTGTTTTTCTGTCAATATGGGGTGCTGTGTGTACATTAATGAGGAAAAAATTTACTTAAATGATTTTAGCAAATGGCTGCAATATAAAAAAGAGTGAAAAATTTAAGGGGGTCTGAATACTTTCCGTACCCACTGTATATGGTTGTGATGACTTTGATGTCACTAAAATAGATCCACTTAGCGGTCATATTTTATCTTTGGAACAGATGGAGCCTGTCGGAGAGGCTGAAAGATCCTGAAATACAACGTAGTCTGGAATTTTAGCTACAGATCGTTTGGATAAACTTTATTTTGTTTCTGCTAGTGTGCAACTGTTTGAGACACAGTATAACCTATCTGATATTCATACTCTTGACATATCTTAGCATTGCCATGGTACTCATTTCTCTTTCCTTAAAATATATAAAAAATTCCTTAAAAAGTTAAAAATGACAATTTTTCAGTCGATCATCATGATGCTTTGCTACCATGATGCTAACATGGACATGATGATATGAAACAGAAACTGAACTTGAGAAACACTCACTATGTATATTAAGAAAGTAGAAGTGTGTGAGTGTGCAGTGAAATTCCTGTTTATATGGGAGTCATAAAAAAATTACTTTGAAATGCAACTTATGGAAGTGTACTTGGCATTTAAGTCTATTTCTGATGTATCTAAATTCAAGGAAACCTTTAAAGGTGAGGTGTGCCATTTCTTTTATGTTAAAATGCCTATGTCTTCTTAAAGTCAGTGAATTGCTATTTGTAACCCATTTTACTTCCATAATGTGACATATAGCTTAACGTTCAAAAGTCTGGGGTCAGAAAACTTTTGCATTGTTCCAAAGATTTTTTGTTAAATAAATGCTGTGTTTGAGTGAATGTCTGTTCATTACAAATCCTTTAAAATGTATTATGGCTTCCACAATATTAAGCAGCAACATTGAAAAAAAAAAAAAATGTGACACTGATATCTGGAGTAATGACTGCTAAACATTCAACTTAATTATATTAATATAATGTGGATTACATTTTATTATTTGACAGTATTACTCTTTTACTGAATTTGTGATCAAATAAATATAGCCTTGATGAGCATAAGAGACTTCTTTCAAAAACATTTAAAAGATCTTACCGACCACACACGTTAAATGTTAGTTTATTTAAAAATGAAGGAAAATATTCAATGAGAAAAAATGTAGGGTGGGAGTATCCAGAAGGAACTGATTTGAACATCCAGCACAACAATAATTTTCACTCTCCCTATTTATCGATCACATTTTTTTGTCTGTCTACATCACTCAGGGACTCCCTTCTGCTCTCCCATAACTGCCTCTTCATCTGCCCTTGACTTCTTTTCAGGTCTTGCTGTGTCCAGTCATCTTTTTGCCATTTTTCTGTTTCAGTGAGAAAGAATATCTCTCCATTTAGGCTGACAAAGAGGGTGATAACCTTGCCCAAGGTCTGGCGTAATTGACATTGTCAAGCCAGTAAGTTGTTTTCAGATGGAGAGGAGCTTTTTTGCTTTGCAAGCTGTCTCCAGTACAGAGCACAATCAACCATTGCAGATCAATCTGCGAAGCCTCCAGGATATTTCATCACTCTTTGTCTCTCCGATTTTCTTCTTCTCTGTCAGCCTGTCAGGTTCCACAGGCTGGAAATACAGTGGACATTTGACTCTCCATGCTGTTGTTAAGCAGTTAGTGCAAGTTTTGCCTTGACTGTAAGCGTGGCCACAGGAAGGCAGAATGATAAACCTCTGTCCCTGAAAAATGAGCTGCGTTTTGACTTCAAGGCTTAACGCAAAGAACTTTTGACTGTTTTTCTTTGACCTGACAGTTTACATTCACTCAACTGACTGTGTTTACATTAATGACCCACCAAGGTGCATAAGCTGACAGTCAGCTCTATCTAGAGTTTGACAGAATTTTAAGGACGGCCCACTGGCCCGGAGCCAGTGTTGAGAGAGTTTTGAGCCATTTCATTTTACATTCGTTGTTGTACTTCCATTTTTGCAAACCTAAAGGTTAGAGCTTTACTTTGAGCTAGTTTAAATAATTCATTTTCAAATGATTTATTTCAAATTAAGCATAAATTATGTCAAATAAATATAAATTACTTCATTTATATAGCATGTTATTTACTATATTTAAATGAAATAGCATGCTATCATATATATGTCAGCTTTATATCGGCCACCCTGATCTCTAAAATATTGACATCAGCCATCAATATTGAAATCCGTATGGAATGACCACTACTCAAAAGTGTTTAAAGGGACATCGTGGTGCTCTCGTGAACCCACGTCAAAAACTGACACAGAAGGGAAGAAATTGTTGAATAAAGTCGTTTTTTTTTTCTTTGTGCACAAAAAGTATTCTCGTAGCTTCATAAAATTACGGTTGAACCACTGATGTCACATGTCCTTACTACTTTTCTGGGCCTTTCAGTTGTGTTGCTGTCAATGCAGGGTCAGAAAGCTCTCGGATTTCATCAAAAATATCTTAATTTGTGTTCGGAATATGAACAAAGGTCTTACAGGTTTGGAACGACATGAGAGTGAGTAATTAATGACAGAATTTTCATTTTTGGGTGAACTATCCCTTTAACTTTCAATCCTTTCAATCTATAGTTGCCTATAGATTTATAATTCTTAAATTCATTTTAAAAAAAAGCATCCTTGCAGAATGTATGGTTGACATTTCCCAGCTGCCTGACATCTCATAAACCCCAAATTACTTAGTTTAACATGCAAAGATATAAACAAATATTCCATTACACTGGATATTAATGACAGAGAGGCTTCTACAGAGCATCAGGCCTGAGCAGAGACAATAAAGCCACACATAGCAGCTTTCAGCATCACAGCTGAGCCTTCTCTGGGCCTTAGGTGTGGAGCTGGCACAGCATCCAGCGCTCTCCTGGGATCAGCCTGAGATAAACACATTTAGGTGCACATGTGACCTATGAGCCCATTCAACAGTGCCAGCCTCCATCTCTCCCTCTCCCCACAGGAAGTCTGACTAAAAATCAGCCCTTTATTGGTTAACACAATGTCCATTAACTACGGGTAGCATATTGCAAATCACACCATTACAGTTTTTTTTTTAATTTTTTATTTATGAGACTATAAGGATGATTCTAAAGGTGGTCTGTTATAGTGATGTGTGCTATTATAGAAATGATGTGTTATCAGTATGATTGCATAGGAAGGATGCTGTGAAAAAGATTGTGTAATGTCACCTTCATCTATTTTTTTTATGCAGGCTTATTCTGGCTGCTAACAGAGATGAGGTCTACAGCAGACCGTCCAAAGCTGCAGACTTCTGGGGCAGCAACAATGAGTTCCTCAGCGGTAAATATCAGTCTTATTTTTCAGTTATTAGACAAATATTTAATATCCAAAGTCCTGCGTCAAATATCCTGAGTTTCTACAGTTTAGGATGAACAATAGTTTCTTCAAGAGTCTTTTTATTGTGTCTCACAGAGCCAGTTATTTGACTATCTGCTTGATGTCTAGTCTAGATCAGCCCACTTAGATATGACGGAACTGTTGTGACCAAACACAGATTGTTTCATTTTTTTCCAGTTCATTTGCTACTAACCAGCTAGTTAAGTAGTGTGGCTGTCTAGTTTTCCCCAGTTTTTTTTTGTGACTATTTATCCACTATCTAACTATTTGAAGAATGTAGTTGGCTAGTTTTTAATTTTATATTTTCTAATATTTGTTTAGGTTGAATATTTTGACTATTTGTCCACTAACTAGTCAAATTGTGTGGTAGGCTAGCTTGTCTAGATTTTTTTCCAAATTTTTATGTTAGCTTTACTATTTTAACTATTTGTTCACTAACTAGCCACTTGAGTAGTATGGTTTGCTAGGTTGTCTTTTTTTTCCGAATTTCTATAATAGCTTTATTATTTTTAGTACCTTTGCATACAAGAGGCAGATCTTGTGCTATTTAGCCTATTATTTAACTCAGAAAATATAAGAAAATTCTGTTTGTTGATATCTAGATTACTTGCTACTAGGGGTGGAACGGTTCGCGGAAAAAAATAGAACCGTACGGTTCTCCACACACCGTTCGGCACGGGTTAGGACCGCGGTTCAACTTAAATCTGACAACGCATCTGTAATATGGTTTGCTATAAATAACATGTAAAACAAACAGGGTTCGGCTAATATATGTTTCTGTTGATGGATGTGCATTCTGGCTTCCCAATACATTACAACAACAGCGATGAAAAACAAAAAAACGTGGACAAACCATTCACTCTTGTTCAATGCGAATGCCGTATGCTGGAATATGAGCATTTTTTTCCGTCATCACCCGGGTGCTGATCGCGCGCATGCACAGGTGAGACCAGAACAGCACACGTTGATATCTGTTTAAGCTAAACTCATTTAAGCTTTGCCAGTTTAAACATTTAAGAGTCAGAGGAGCTCGTGCGCGCAGTGGAAGATTTGTGCATGCGCTCATCCGAAGCACGCAAACCCGCGCCTCAGAACACGTGGATTAAGGTATTAAGCTTTCTCTGAAGTATTGTTTAAATGGACAAATTCACACAAAAATGATGTCAAAATGCCCGTCTTGGTAAGTATCCTATAGCCATAGCCGGCTGAATGTACTGTATCAGTGCACTGGATCAGTGCATTCTCTTAAAGTGACAGCACATTCTTAATATTAATCAAACAGCAACAACAAAGAAATCACTCACTGCTCTTGATTGAATAGCTTTTAACATTCTTAATATTAATCAAACAGCAACAACAAAGAAATCACTCACTGCTCTTGATTGAATAGCTTTTAACATTCTTAATATTAATCAAACAGCAACAACAAAGAAATCACTCACTGCTCTTGATTGAATAGCTTTTGTAACTTTAATAAAGAATCATCTTTAATTTATACAGTCAAATATGCAGTGCTGTTTTGCATTTCATTACTTTATTACATTTCTGTACCTGAAAACTAAATGTTAGACCTACCTAAAAAAAACTGAAAAGCACTGTTTATTTTATTTGTATCTTTACTCTATTGTATTTATTTGTGATGTTGCCTTTAGTTAGATTATTCTTATTTTCTTTATTTTTATTTGACAGTATAGTTTTTGCCTAAACACAGCACATACCGAACCATACCAAAACCGTGACTCTAAAACCGTGATACAAACCGAACCGTGAGTAAGTTGAACTATTCCACCCCTACTTGCTACTATATGTTTTACATTTCATTAAGATAATAACTTTATATTCGCTTAAATTCAGATTCTTGCAAAATATCAGTGCTGGTACTACTAGATCTCAGTGCTGCGTTTGACACTGTCGATCATAACATACTTCTAGAGAGACTGGAAAACTGGGTCAGGCTTTCTGGGATGGTTCTCAATTAGTTCAGGTCATACTTAAAAGGGAGAGGTTATTATGTGAGTATAGCAGAGCATAAGTCTAAGTGGACGTCCATGACATGCGGAGTCCCACAAGGCTTAATTCTTGCACCGCTCTTGTTTAGCCTGTATATGCTCCCACTATAAACTTGCCATGCCTTTCAAAGATTTGATGCCACTGGAAAATGGCAAAATCCAATTCCTCAAAATACTTCATGCTGGTTTAAACTGCGTCATCTAGTGAGTCAGTGATTATTATTTGTCAGAACATTCAGTTTGGAGAGAATTATTGAAGATTATTTTTTCCTTAGGAAAGAGAATAATTTAGAAGATAAGCTGGTTGCATCTACTGCTTGAGGGGTGTAGGATATCAGACCGAATCAGACAATCTAAGATTTGGTCAAAACATGATTGAGGCACGAGGAGTCAAAACATTCCACAAGAGGCCCAAGACAACAGGATGTCATAAATCAGACCCGAGCATTAGCCAGTCTGAAGCAAGCCTAAACCACTCTGTCACAGAACAGTTTTCAACATTAACACAAAAGAACACTTATTGACAATTCCAAGGAGATTGTCAAT